GCGTACTTGGCAACGCCGCATTGGTGGTTTATTTTGTAACTTGAAGATATGAGTTTACGTTGCGAGCGTCGCACTGCGTACTGCGTACGACCTCGCGCGAGCTAGGACTCGGTGAGTGGGGTCCACCACGGAATGGATCTCTCCGTACGCAGCTCACTCCCAACGACCAAGTGCTAACTCCCACGCATTCAGGCGTTGGGTTAGCAACTTTAGCACCTATTATAATAGAGTCGGAGCCATTTTTTCGGACAACGCATCGCAGTACCCATCATCACAATCGTCCGATGTAATATACACATAATTCATACGTCTCGAATATATATTCACAATGGCATTCATCACACTATACATTGTCACTGGTTTGGCGCGCAATCTTCTCATCTTGGAGCTTGCTTTTCTCGTCCAGAAAGGCCAGCCAGCGCGCGCGACCGTCCTTGCGTAGATACCAGTAGACGGTCCAGGCCATCGAGAGGACCAAGAGAACCGTGAGACCGATTGCTGCGAGCACCATACCGAGTGATCCATTGTACAAGAACGTCAGTCCCAGCGCGATCGCGGGCACCAGCACAAAGAGGCCGCCAAGAAAGTACCCCGCGACAAGCGGAAACCGCGCACTCGCATACCCGAGCGCCCGCGCCGCCGCAAAGATGGGCGTGCGCATGATCGGAAGCGGATAAAAGAGGAGCATGCCAAAGACGTTGAACCAAAAGTGGGTCAGCGCGACAGCGACCGCGTCCGGCGACCCGGTCACCAGCGACGCCAAGAGCGCTGTGACTGTCGTGCCGAGGTTGGCGCCAATCACGAGCGGGTACATTTGCTCGAGCGAAATGACACCGAGGCCGGCCATCGGTGTCAGCGTCGACGTCACGATCGACGACGACTGGACACAAAACGTAATGAGCGCACCAATACCAATGTTGAGGTAGCCGTTCCAGTTGAGGACGCGCTGGATGATGGCTTGAGCCGACCCGCGGAGAAGCGCTTGCAGCGTCTTGACGAGCACCAGCAGCGAGCCAATCAACAGCACGAGCCCGAGCCCGAGGCAAATGCCTCCAATCGCAGCACTCGAGAGCGACCCGTCGATGTACGCGGCGTAGAACGCTCCGCCTTTGAGAAAGGACGCGTCATGACACGCAATCGTCCCGGCCGTGACGCCTTCGATCATATTTTTATCGACCGAGAGCAGCAGCTTGTAGAGCGGGCTGATGATCCCATCGATGGGCGATGAGAAAAATGACCCCGTGCTCCCACCGGTCATAGCTACGGCGAGATGCTCGAGCGGATGCAAGAGCATCTCGAGGGGGAAGAGCACAAGGACGGTGCAAATGTTGTAAAAATCGTGGATCGTACCGGCGGCCAACGCCCGTTCAAACTGCGCTCGGTCGCCGACTTGGGCAAACGCGACGATCGTCGACGTGAGGCACGTGCCAATATTGGCGCCCATGGTAATGGGCACCGACTGCCGGACGCTGAGGCCACCGGCACCGACGAGTGCGACTGTGATCGACGTCACGGTACTCGACGACTGCAAAATCGCCGTAAAGACCATGCCGACCATGAGCCCGACGATCGCATTGTCAGTGAATCCAAAAGCCGCCTTTGTGTTGCAGCCAAAGAGCAGTGAGAGCGAGTCACCGAGAAGCTTGATAGCGAAGAGAAAACAGTAGAGCGCGGCGAGCGCAGCCATCGTGTGAAAGACGCCAGAAAGTACGCGCGAAGACCGCGACACCGGCGGTGCCTCGGTCACGGATGCGTACGGCTCGCTGTCCTTGGGTGTCGTCGTTGGCATGTGTGCTTGGAAGCTGCGATGGAAAAATGGGAATGCGAACTCACGTTTGGATCGACCATCGCACGTGCGTGGTGATGAGGTCAAGGGATGAGAGGCGACGATATGAC